ACACTAGGAAAGTTATCTTGGAAGGAACTCCACTGCCTCAACAATCCTTTCATTAACTGATCAAGGACGATTTGCCGTAATTAACTCAGTAATCAGAACTCCCAGCGGAAATGGAAAGGACTTTGTATTAGTAAGTTTGCCTTATATATTGTAAAGATTCATGGGTTAATTCACTATATAGAAATATTGGAAACATAAGAAAATTAGATTATGCTAGCTTTAGTGTACCTATAATCTTAATTTTATTAATGACAGGAGGCGAGTATTTGCTTAAGTCTCTCTTTACTAGAACTCCACAACACAGAAAAAACAACCAATCAGAAAAAAGTTAGGTACTATAAAACTCCCATCCCCATACATCATTTACTCTTTCAAGCTGCGACAAAACAGAACAAAATGAGTACAATGAATACAACAATGTCCACCATCCGAGAAGAACTGCCAAACCAGATAGCGTTGATGGACTGTAAACTGAAACGAGAGAAAAAACAGAATCGAAAAGGCTGGTTAGACAATGAATTGTACTCTGAACAAAACATCTAGGCCCCCAGTGTAACAACCAGAAATACCCTAATATACAGAGATCCCAACCCTTAGTTCAGAAAACGGACTCAGGTAACAGAGACAACAAGCAGAGTTGCATAAGTACCTGATGTACCCAAACTATTAAAATTAAACAAGGGAGGGATAAGAATGGGTGGGAAATACTCGCCTCCTGTCATTAATAAAATTAAGATTATAGGTACACTAAAGCTAGCATTATCTACAATTTTATAACATGAAAGGAGGCTTCGTATTTGCAGTTTTAACGCTCAGGCAACAAATCCAACGCTGTTTGTTTCGCTGGTACCTATTCCGGGAGATAACTAGATCAATCCCAAATGGAACATTCCAACTGCGAGAAATGACAGTAGACGGATCGATGAAGATGTCAGCTGTCGATGTACCCCAAAATATGGGAAAAACACCCTCCGCTGTTAGATCCATTGTACGTGGGGTTGCGACCTGTTTCCTATCAGCCGGTCCATGAACTGCAAAGCTGACCTATTAGCCATTTCGCCGTAGGTGTAAAATACCGAAGGTCCTCCGTGGACGTAGGATCGCGAGAAAAACTGCCACCAGGTCTCGACCCTTGATGTGGAAGATGGCTCCTCCGATTGTGCCAGGGTCACCGGGTGATGTGGCCTTGCAGGCAAATCTCCAACCTCAAGTAATGCTTCTAAGTCAGTGATGGCAAACCTATGGCACGCGTGCCACAGGTGGCACGCAGAGCCCCCTCTGTGGGCATGCGGCCATAAGTCGCCGGAGGGAGGGAGGGTGCGCTCCGCCGGCGCATCCATAAGGCAGCACAAGTGGCCGCCTTAGGGCGCACCGGCCTGGCGGGCGCAAAACTGGAGTGACCGGCAGGAGGTGAGCCGAGAGGTACAGCCTCCCTCTCCCCGCCAGGTGCACTAGAAGCGCGGGTCGGCCGCTGCATAGGAATCCATGTTTCCTGTACCCGGCAGACGGAAATGAAAGTGCTCACAGAGAGAGAACTCCTGAGCCAGTCCGGTACAGGAAACAGTTCCACGGGTGCGCCGGCCACGCCTTCAAGGAGGGGGGAATGAAAACTAATGGCGGGGCTGGTTGAGAAACTGAGGGAGGTATGGGGGGAGAAGGAAACTGAGGGAGGTATGGGGGAGAGGGGAAACTGAGGGAGGTATGGGGGGAGAGAAAACTGAGGGAGGTATGGAGGGGGGAACTGAGGGAGAGATGCGGGGAGAAAACTGAAGGAGGTATGGAGGGGGGAAACTGAAGGAGGTATGGTGGGGAGAAGGAAACTGAGGAGGTATGGGGAGGAAAAACTGAGGGAGGTTTGGGGGGAGAAGGAACTGAGGGGAGGCATGGTGGGGGAGAAGGAAAACCGAGGAGGTGCTGGGGGGAGGAAACTGAGGGAGGTATGGGGGGGAAACTGAGGGAGGTATGGTGGGGGAGAAGGAAACTGAGGGAGGTATGGGGGGGAAACTGAGGGAGGTATGGTGGGGGAGAAGGAAACAGGGAGGTATGGTGGGGAGAAGGAAACCGAGGAGGTATGGTGGGGAGAAGGAACTGAGGAGGTATGGGGGGAGGAGAAAACTGAGGGAGGTATGGGGGGAGAAAACTGAGGGAGGTATGGGGGGGAACTGAGGGAGGTATGGGGGGAGGAGAAAACTGAGGGAGGTATGGGGGAGAGAAAACTGAGGGAGGTATGGGGGGAGGAGAAAACTGAGGGAGGTATGGGGGGGAAACTGAGGGAGGTATGGGGAGAGAAAACTGAGGGAAAGCGGAGGGGAAACTGAGGGAGAGATGGGGGGAAAGAAAACAGTGGGGGTGGGGAGAGGGGGGACGACATACACAAAGCACCCCTGCCCTACACATATCACCCCACACAAAGACACACACACATCACCCCACACAAACACCACCCCCCACACAAACACCACCCCCACACACACACACACCACCCCACACACACACACATCACCCTACACACAAACACATCACCCCACACACAGACACATCACCCCACACACAGACACATACACTGTACCCCTCAATGCAGTGTGTGTACACTCAGCAGTCTGTGTGTGTGTACACTCAGCAGTCTGTGTGTGTGTGTGTGTACTCAGCAGTCTGTGTGTGTGTGTGTACTCAGCAGTCTGTATGTGTGTGTGTACTCAACAGTATGTGTGTGTGTGTGTACTCAGCAGTCTGTGTGTGTGTGTATTTAGCAGTCTGTGTGCGTATTTAGCAGTCTGTGTGTGTGTGTTTATTTAGCAGTCTGTGTGTGTATTCAGCAGACTGTGTACTCAGCAGTCTGTGTGTGTATTCAGCAGTCTGCTAAATACAGACAGACTGCTAAGTACACAGACAGACTGCCGAGCACACACACAAACTGCTTAATACACACACAGAGATGTTAATTAGTTCGGACAACTGTATGAGTTGTTTTTTCTAAACTTAAACCTCAGTATTCAGGTTTAATTGCCGTTTTGGCACTTTGAGGGAAAAAAAATTGGCATGTATTACGATTTGGGCACTCGGGCTCAAAAAGGTTCGCCATCACTGTTCTAAGTCTACCACGAATTCCGTAACCGAACAGAGTAGGGTCTTTTCGTTAACTCATGACCTACCCAGTGAGTGGTCTCATTCAAGAATGAAATTATTATGCAGGCAAGAGTGCGGTTACAACTAGCCGTATCCTAATTGATTCCAGTACTCCAAATGGACTGTGTAACCCGCGACTGCGGTAGAGAAAGAACTCCCAAGGGACGTCCAATCAGGATCCCAAACTGAACTTGTGTAGTGAAACGGTGGTCGACTACTCTGGGGAACTGTGAATCCTGGAAATATCCAAAAGGAGTGGAACGTAAACAGGAGTTGAGATTTCCATCCAGATATATCATTGTTGATGAGTCCGGATCCAGTGGTAATTGGGACCTGTCTAACAAAGAAGAATCCTCACATGCTGTAGTGAGAGAGTGAAATAATCCGATTACTCATTTATACGATCCTGATCCATGCCCGACCTGTCAAAATTTGTGTAGGAGCTCATGGTCTGCACGCCATCTACAAGATAGGGTATAATATAGTGAGACCTTTAGGTCCCGGTACCCCTGACTGTCCGGGCACGTATCTCCAAGAGTAGACCCTAGGTCAAGGGACCCAGGAATGTGAATTCGAGAACCGAAGTCAAGGCCTCCCTATAGGGGAATACTTCCCTTAGCCTGGAGTCCCCCGAACTTATAGTGCTCTCTAACACGAAGGCACGACGTAAAGACCTTTCACTCACGACAGGTGACTCCAGAGATCAGATATAGCGAAGAAACAAGGGTCTAGCTTCACCCGTCCGAAGCAGAGGTTGTCCAGTTTGAGAACTTCGGCAGCCAAATCCAAGCCTGCTACCCATCCTGAGCCGTACTCCAGCAGTAGGTCGCGACCCAACTTGTGATGTCTGTGTAGGAGCCGGGGATCCACAGGGTACCCCCCATGGAGCCCAAGTAGGTCTCCTTGATGGTAGTTGAATAGGTGGGCTAGTGAGAACCCAAAACCAAGATGGTTCCCGTGAGGGCCCTCCATGTTCTAAGAGGAGTAGAGGCAGTCCTGTCATCTTATCCCAAGATTGTTAATGACCAGGGAACCCAAGTCAACCGAGGACTCCGGTCTTTCCATGCGATCCCTGCGTACGAAGTACCTGCAGACCGGGCTGTGGTACTTCCCCAGTCTTGTTACCCGAGCAAGGCAGTGCACGTTTGCTCTATGAGGGCCTCAGGATCTCATATGCAGTCAACATTGTCCTGTACAGGTAAAAGCCTGTGTGACGAACAAAAGGGACGGCACCGTAGTGCATTGGGTGTATGAGAGAGACGTACTCTCTAATAATGTAACCGAACTCCGTGTCAGCATCAGGCTAATAGCATGAGTGGGCCGTACCCGTTTATAGCAAAAATTTGTGTTTACATCCGTGTCCAGTTCCTTCTATGAGAGTGGGTCTCACTTAAAACCTGTCCTCTGTATCCATCTCAGTATCGGTCTGAGGTTGAGGGAGGACTGCGCCCTCTAATAAGGAATCAGTGTCCGTTCGGTATATGAGGGGGATCGCTCTCTACTCGTGTAAATAAATAACAGTCCCGTGCCAAGGCGATTGAGGGCCGCACACTCTTGTAATCCAAACTAGAATCCATATAAAACTCGGGCTGGGCGAATGCGGGGGTACACCCTTAATAGTATCAGCGCAGGGCTAAGGCGCTGAGGAGGGTCAATTTCTGAGCCGATATCTCTCTCTGAGTCACTCCGTGAGAGGTGGGACCAACTGGGAATAAACCAGACCGATGGTACACAGAGTAGTAGTTAACCTCGGGCCGTGCCCATTTTCAACAACCGAAAAGGGGGGCTGAGAGAATGTAACCTCTGGAAAAAAAAACAATGGCATCTACCAATGGGCCGCCCAGACCCGTGCGCGCAGGGGCGCGAGATCCAGGATGACCGCCAGTAGCTTGGGAAACGCTGGAGACGTTCTCCTCGATCCACAAGAGCCCGGAAAGTCGGGGGCCAAGTCAGGCCTCTCGATGACCCGAGCAATACGAGATGGGAAGACAGGAAAACAACAGACCAAAGGTTACGAAACAGGAAACATGTACCTTGGGAAAAATAACGGACAGTAAAGTAAACCGGTAAACCGGCCTGAAAGGGGCCAAGAACCAAGCATGACATAGAAATAACTAACCAGACCCAAAATGGATACTGGATATGCAGCTAAAGGATAGTTGCTAAAGGTAAGGGATTGCCGTGATCCCCTGTTGGCGTCTGAGTACTGGTCCTTGTATGTGTATGAGAGCGAAACTCTCCATGGAGATGTGCCACCGCTGGGCTGAAGCCAACCGTGGTTGCCCGCCTGGGAACTTAGTAGAAGCCTTGCCCCTCAGGGCGTGATGTTTAGGGCCTTCACCCTTCCAATCATATTGATGTGCATGTATACCGGTGACACCTCCGGGAATATGGCAGTCATGTCAATAGTGGGTACTGGGCTTTCCTCATTAACATTCCCTGAGGCCTGTGGTCAAAATGGGGGGTTCGGGCACGGACTAACGTTGGCCTATCGATAGGCCACAGACAGAGCTGGCCAAACTGATGAGGACAGACATAGCAGACCGATTAATGGGGCACAGGTCTAGCAGGCCTATCAGTGGGGCACAGGTCTAGCAGGCCTATCAGTGGGGCATAGACATAGCAGGCCAATTAATGAGGCACAGACATAGCAGGCCAATCAGTGGGGCACAGACATAGCAGGCCAATCAGTGGGCACAGACATAGCAGGCCAATCCATGGGGCACGGACAAAGCGGGCCACTCACAGGAGTTGTGTTCTGTCAGCAGCAGGGGAACAATCTGCATGGGTAGAGCTCCATATATATAAATATATATATATCTAGGGGGTAATTAGGTGCACAACCCCTTGAAATACTAAACCTTTCCGGTAGTGTGAGTGTGTGCTAAGCTGATGTTGTGCATGTTGCCTATTGCTGTGGCCAAATGCAGATTCTAACTTTTATTTATTATTCAGTTATAGTGAATTAAAAGTATCCCAAAAAAATAGCTGAACTGGAAGAACTCTGCATTTCGTCTTTGTTTTGAGTTCAGCTACTTTAAAGTGAACATTTTAATTGACTTTAATTCTGACAATTCTCAGTTTAGTTAATAACCCTGTCTGAGAAGCTTAGAGTGATGGGTGTGGACATACATTAGAAATCCAGAATGAGATGGATTTGGTGGTTGCTGGTTCTAGGGTTGATATGTCTGTGCAGATCATGGCTGTAATGGGAGAAGATGGCGAGTGTTATAGAAAAGGTTCTGGTTACGCTGTTACAGTTACAGTGTGCAATAGGTATCGTTCTATCTACTGTCCTGATCCAGTGGAACAGACGCTATTTTTATTTTATTTATTAATGAACAAAGTATGACATTTAAACTCACTGAATATTTCCTTATTAAGGAATAAATTGTATCTATTTTTCGATTTTAAGGGAGTTTTACTTAGTAAGATATTAAAATAATAGCAACTTTCCTCTGAAAAATATATATTTTAATAAGATAGACCATCTGTGTATTCCTTTATTTCATGTAAATAAGTCAATAAAAAGATCAAAATTTCAATCTATACAGGAAATTTCTTAAGGACTATTAAAAAATTACTATCTGCATAAAATAAAGGAACACAGAAAGAACAATAATGCGGGCAAATAAATATATATATAAAATGTGTGGGAAAAGTATTTGATCCTCTGCTGATTTTGAACGTTTGCTCACTGACAAAGAAATGATCAGTCTATAATTCTAATGGTACGTGTATTTTAACAGTGAGAGACAGAATAACAAAAAAAATAATCCAGATGTCTGACGTTTGGCAACTCGAATCTTCAGCTCCCTCAACAGATTTTATATGGGATAAAGGTCTGGAGACTGGCTAGGCCACTCCAAGACATTAATGTGCTTCTTCTTGAGCCTCTCCTTTGTTGCCTCGGCTGTGTGTTTTGGGTCATTGTCATGCTGGAATACCCATCCACGACCCATTTTTAATGCCCTGGCTGAGGGAAGGAGTTTCTCACCTAAGATTTGACGGTGCATGGCCCCGTCCATCGTCCCTTTGATGTGGTGCAGTTGTCCTGTCCCTTCAGCAGAAAAACAACCCCAAAACATAATGTTTCCACTTCCATGTTTGACCTGGGGTTGGGTTCTTAGGGTCATAGGCAGTATTCCGCCTCCTCCAAACACGGCAAGTTGAGTTGATGCCAAAGAGCTCGATTTTGGTCTCCTCTGACCATAACACTTTCACCCAGTTCTCCTCTGAATCATTCAGATGTTCATTGGCAAACTTTAGATGGGCCTGTACATGTGCTTTCTTGAGTAGGGGGACCTTGTGGGCGCTGCAGGATTTCAGTCCTTTACGGCATAGTGTGTGTGAAGGACTTTTATGCAATTGCCTATATGCTTCAGTTTAATCCTCTCCCTGCTATTTTAATGTCTATATTGTTTGGTTCCAAATGTTGAGAATGAATGTATTCGTGTACCGAACGGGGACCACACACCCTGGGTAGCAAGTAGCAATTAGAACACAGAGAAAACCGCAACTTAATTGCTACTAGGTGGCCGCCATTCGACATACGAACACGTGGCGAGAACAAAGGATGGCGGCCATCTTAAAACTCACGAATGCGGTCAGCGGGGCTTACGCATGAATTGCATGGAACTGTTTTCGGTACGGGAAACATGCGAACGCCCGGTCCCCCATGGAAGTCCTGGATGAATACGTTCCCCTCCACTAATCAAACTGGCGTTCGGTAGATAGTATCTACCGAATGAGAGGAACGTTCACAGGTAACCAGCTGAACCATACGAACGGTAGTTTTCGTGTAGTTAGATGCGAACGGAGACCGGCTCTTGCTACTGATTCTATGGAACTGTAACCCGGATACCTCCACATGGCAAGCCGGTCAAACTTCCACACGATGCGACACGGAAACTACCGAACGGAAATTCGTGAGATTTGGATATGTGACTACCAGTATCCTCAGCTATCCAGGGATGTTAAAAGTATAATTGTATGTCTTATAGAAAGTATGTTTCTGAAATTGTTATAAATTGTAATGTTTCTGGCCAGCAGATAATTGAGCTTTGTGTATTGTAGAAACTCAATTATCTAGCCTGGCCCAGAGGAGGAGTTTTGTGTTGCATAAATTGTGAGTTCTGTGTGCCAGTAAATCAGTCTTGTTCCAGCATTAAGCTTTGGCTCATGTGTGGATTATTCGGCGATTCCAGGGATATTTCTGCTTATGGAATATTGAGTGCTTTTCTTTTATGGGAAGAAGGGAATGCTTGACGGGGATATTTTCTACTACCGTCACAGTGTGTTACCAAAGGTTTTCTTGGTGACTATGGTCCTAGCTGCTTCGAGATCATTAACAAAATCCTCCTGTGTAGTTCTGGGCTGATTCCTCACTATTCACTGAAACTCCACAAAGTGAGATCTTGCATGAAGCACCATACCGAGGGAGACTGACGGTTATTTTGTGTTTCTTCCATTTGCGAATAATCGCAACAACTGCTGTCACCTTCTTATCAAATTGTTTGGCGATGGTCTTGTAACCCATTGCAGCCTTGTGTAGGTCTACAATCTTGTCCCTGATATCCTTGGACAGCTCTTTGGTCTTGGCCATGGTGGAGAGTTTGGAATCTTATTGATTGCTTCTGTGGACAGGTATGTTTTATACAGGTAAAGAGCTGAGATTAGGAGCACTCCCTTTAAGAGCGTTCTCCTAATCTCATCTCATTACCTGTATAAAAGACACATGGGAGCCAGAAATCTTGCTGATTGATAGGTGATCAAATACATTTCACTCATTGACATGCAAATCAATTTATAACTTTGTTGACATTAATTTTTCTTGATTTTTTTTTTGTTCTGTCTCTCACTGTTAAAATACACATAACATTAGGAATTATAGACTGATCATTTCTTTGTCAGTGGACAAATGTTCAAAAGCAGCAGGGGATTACACACTTTTGTTTCCCCCTCCTAGCATGTGTATATATATTTATCAGTAATTTCCAATGGGGAATGCATTTTATTTATATTTTTAAGTAATTAGGGCATTTCCTCCTATACTGAGTATAGAAAGGCAGAGGTAGCTACAGATAGCCTGATTGTTCGTTGTGACATCACTGTGACATCATACTTGCTGAGCACAGTTCAGTCAGTACACACTGCTTAGACAGTAGACACTGCTTAGCTGCTGTGGTGATCACGTGGCTAAAGATGGCAAATAGTAGAACAGTTTTTTCGTGTTTTCCATGTTTATGCTGTGATGTAAGTAAAAGACTTGATTTTCTGTATAAGATTCCAGTTCTACATATAATTAACTGAGAGTTTTATCATGTTAACCAAATCCCCAGTGTAGTCCAGGATGGGGGGATAAAGAGAATACAGATTGATATCTGTTTATTAATGGGGAACACTGTGGAGGTTACACACAGATATATCATTTTATTCTTTCTTCAATATTTAACCCTTTCATGGCTCTAGTTTTAATGTCCAAACCACAGTGACAGCATATGGTTACTGTATGGGTTTTTGTGGTATAGATTCCTTGACCCTTATTAATTTCAATTACTGGTATGTCATGTGAAAGTACTATAGAGTATTGTTATTAGGATGCTTACACACACACATATCCTGTATATGTATATAATAAATAAATCCGGACTGAAAGACTGCACTGAGACACTAATACTAGCAGCACAGGAACAGGCAGTCGGCCCCAGATCAATAGAAGGAGAGTCTACCACACCAGACAGGACCAGAGAGTCCTCCCAGACAATCCAGCACATAGTAACCACACTGAGAGCCACAAATAACTTGTGATCCTGTTCGTCTGGCAAAGAGACTTCGTGGTTTTCTGATTCTTTTTATTTCTGCCTTTTCAGGTTAGCGGAACGCGAGTAATTGATGTTATCGAGCAAGGAGCAGGGGAACACCCAGGTACATTAAAACACTTTGTGTGTGTTATGTAAATGTATAAATATATATTGGATACATATCACATATCCCATTAAAGTGACCAGATTACCCATCATTAACCTGCTTACACCATTTTTATATCCACTTTGTGACTTACTGTAGACTAGATGCTGCTATCATGACTGGCTTCAGCTATCGTGGTTTTGCTTTTCAATGTCTGTCTTTCATTACCCTCGATTCAGTGATACTGTCTGCTGCCATTTGTAATTTTGATTTTGTCTTATTATTAATTTGCAGATGGTCCCCAGATTCCAGTGGCTTCTGATAATGATTCATGCTCCTCACCAGATGAGGACAAGTTAGCCACTTTTGAGAAACAACTCGAAGATGAGTACAAAGTTAAGAGCAAAGCAGAGAAGCTGATAAAGGCGTATTCTACCGGCCGCTCCAAAGTATGTTGGGCACATTTTATTTCATCCTAAAGATCAACTATATCTTTATTAATTTAAATTTTAGAAAACTCCTTCCACTTTCTGCAATGTATGACTTTTTCCCAATCATGATGGCATTTAGCTAATTTTAGTTGATAGCAGGCTGGGGATCCGGGAGCTGATGGGGATCCGGGAGCTGATGAAATTAAAATACATCATTTTGTGGAGTTCGCCTACGGCTCTCTCTCAGCTGAATAGTACAAGGCTCTTCCTTCCACTTGATCAGCCATGAAGCACTTTTCACAATTTTAAGTGCAAAGATTTACACAACTCTCTCGTTTTAGTTTGATTCAATATATTTACAGGACATATTGGGGGGTGAATGGATGGTAAAAGAGAAATGAGAAACAAAACCGTGGGTGAGAAAAAAACATGGAAAGACATGATAGCAAAGGATATAAAGGATGTACAAGGAATAGGCAGCCATATGTAAATACCATAAGAGTGAATGAAAGTAAAATATAGGATAAATTGAAACGTCCCAGAGAGCACATTCTGTCTAATTAGAAGGGGCCGGCATTTCAGATAAGGTAGGGATCAGGGTGATTGGGAAACGAGTATTCCCTAACATCCTCTCCATCTACCATGATGTCTTAAAATGTTTGTTAATAGGGGAGGGGTACAATATGTTGATGTACAGCTTCCACATTTGCAAAATCCTTTTTGTTAGCTTTCATTTTGCCTTTGTTGTAAATAGTGTGTCCGTTCTGAAAATATGAAGTAATTTGGTGGTAAAGAGAGAACTGTATTAAATCTCTAGGTGAAGACCAACAATAGAGGAGAGGAGAAATGCAAGGAACATTACAGTGTTAGAAATACAAACCTGTATCCCTAATGCTGCGGTGCCCTTGTCCCTAGTCAAATACAAGAAACCAAGAGGGAGACACTCACCTAAACATGCATACTTATAAGGGTGCTGCTGGGGCCAATTCATACAACATACAAGATCCAGCGCACTCACTCATTCACTAAACAATAATTTATGTATTAACAGTTTTATTTAGAAGCACCTCACCTAGTCATAAATAATGGGGATTAGTTGCATTATATGATCATACGTTGTATAAGCCTGCCACAACTCCGATGTTTTTGCCTAGGAGAGGTGTTGTTAGATAAAACTGCTACATTTTGTGAACCTTGAGATTGCTGTTTATTGAATGGGTACGTGTGCGGAACTGGCCCCAGCAGCACCCTTATAAGTATGCATGTTCGGGTATAAGTATATGTATATATATATATATATATTACACAAGATCCAGTGCACTCACCTATCCACTAAACAACAACTTCAATGTTGACAGATTTTATATATATATATCGAGAGAGAGAGAGAGAGTCCAGGCCATCAACTCGGTTTTGCACCCCTCCCTGTCTCAGGTACATAATTCCAGGGCCTTATTTAACCTTGACCTGCAGAGAGTCCCAGGAGGCAGCAGTTCCCATGTAAGTTGATTAATCTCATAAGAGCATACATTAGGTTGCTAGAGTAGGACCTGCCAAGAATGGGGTACATTGACATTGTGGCAGGCTTATGCAATGTATGATCATATACTGTAACTAAATTCCCATTATTTTTGCCCAGGTTAGGTGTTTTTAAATACAACTACTACATTATATGAGCCTTGAGATTGCTGTTTGGTGAATGGGTGAGTGCGCTGGATCTTAGTTAAATACATGTCATCGTCCCCCTCCCCTCACGTGCAATAAAAAATAACAATAATAAAGTTTCACTTACCTTCTCCACCTCTCTACATCCCGCAACATCAGTGAGGAAACATGGCATCATTCTTGGTGGTCCAATCCAATGTTCCTCCTGGGGTGCATTGGAGATCTGATGCTTTCCTATGAGCTTCCGCGACACATGACCGATTTTTACTTGTTGCTGTGGAAGCACCTCTAAACATTGTCAGTATGGCAGCCTTTAAGGGTGAATTTAACCTAACAATAATTTCTAAAAAACCTGCACTGTTGTACATTGCAGGATTAGAAGGGAAAGGAACTCTGCACCCAGGCCATTTCACTGAGATGAAGTGCCTTGGTGACTTCATTGTCCCTTTAAAAGGCTTTTAAGGGACAGTGAAAATTAAACTTAGCTCATGTATACATGGCGGTTCGGGGGTAATAAACCTAAAAGTCCAGTCTCTGTTTATCTTAATTATCCATTTGATTTTTCTGATTACAGGATCAGAAACATCTCCGTGATGCTCAGAAAATACTCCATGACAGCAAAAGAAAAATAGAAATTTTGCGCATGTTGATTCTCCAACATAAAGGTAAAGGTTCAGTGATGCCATATGTTCTGTGTATTGTGAAACAAAGAAACAGTATTTTAAGTTTTTGAGGGGTTTAGCTTGGGGAGGTTTGTTGTTTTTCTGTCAAAAATAATTTAATGGGTTCCAGCTGCTATTAAATGTGGTGATCTATGTGTCAGGCGTGAAGGTAGGGTGCGCATGAATGTGGTTTGTGTTCTGCTCTCTTATAGAAAGCTATGAGAGAGCTGTATATATCCCATAGTCCTCTGCACACTAAGGGTTTATGGGGAAACACAGCTCTTGGAAATGTCAGACAAAGGGAATACAGCTATGATTCATGTTATTTCTTACATTATTTGCAAAAATTTTAGAAAATAATGCTTGCAAGAAACCTTATAAGACAAGTTATTCCAAAATGGTTGTCTAACATGTCCCTTTAACCCCTTAAGGACACAGCTTCAAAAGCTTGTCTTACCCTTAAGGACACAAGCTATTTTTGCATTTTTTTGCTCTTTGTCTTTAAATTCGATTTGCATCTCTGTCATTTATTGCACCAACACATAATATATACAGTTTTTTTAGAGGGCAAAAGGGGCTTTAATTTGATGTCACATATACATAGATAAATTCTGATTAATTATTAAAACAAAATGCCAAAAAAATGGAAAAAAAATAAATACATTTCACACTTTTGGCAATGATAGCGTGCATAATATGTACAGCTTACAAAAAGTAATTCACAATAAATTCCTCTATGCATCTTGAGTTATAGACTACATTATACGTGTAGGATTTCAGCTTATTATGAAAGTTACAGGACACAAAATCAATGTGAAACAATGTGAAACAATTTTAGAAGTTGGTAGGTTTGTCTTGTAGGTTTAGTAGCCATCACAGAAAACAAAATTGCCACAGAAGAGTATATATTTAAATAAAGTAGATATCACAGGCTATTTACCCACAGTTCTTTTGACACTTTTAACGTAGTGATTTCATCGCCAATCACTGCTAAATATTGGAGTAAAAGTGTGTTTTTTTCTCTATTTTGGCATATACACCTATAACAAGGTTTTTGTAATGTGTATTTCGTAAAGCTGGTATGTGCTATTGTGTTCAGCTACATCTGCTGAGTATAACGATTTCCCCATTGTATGCCTATGGCACTATTCTGTAAATCTACAATGCCATATAAGAGACAAGGCTATTTCAGTTTCTATAATTAGAATTTTCATAGATGGATTTGACGGGCCTATGTCTCATTTTGGAGTATTATAGCAGTTTGACTGTTTAAATAACCCCACAAAGGGCTTTCATTTGATAAAGCAGATACCCCAGGGTATTTTATATGGTGTATATTGTGCCCAAACTTGTCACCATTTTTTCACAAATTTATGTCATTGTTTGTGGTGAAAGGAAAAAAATTGCTTTTTTACATACATGTTGCATTTTGTCAGAGTATTTCTTACACTTGATATGTGTCACTGTCATAATATCCCCAAAATTATGCTCAGTTACATCTTCCAATATGCCCAATGTATGACCTAGACACTATTTTGTGATGTTAAAGTGCTGTAAACGAGACGTGACAAGTTCAGGTTTTTAAGTGTGAATTGTCATGGAGTTTTGATGCGTCCGTGTTCCACTTTGGAGCTCTTTAGCAGGCTAGCTAGCCTAACGCCAAATTCACCAATTCCCCACTAACTTCCACCCATCCCAGCTAGCTAAATATATAATTTAAAAATATTTAAATTAATTAATAGACTAAATGTAACCCCTGCGGATAAAAAAAAAATAAAAAAAAAATTAACCATCAGGGGTTAAAAAATAAAAATCAGATGACCGTAAAAAATTTAATTAAAGCAGGTGGAAGGGGGTGGGATTTAACTTAAAAACTTTATTTATTTACCGGGAGAAGCAGATCATCTCTGATCCGTCTCCATGCACTTCACATTGGCTGCGGAAGAGTAAGAGGCTGTCAGAGCGATCACAGCTGCAGGGACAGCGCGATCGGGGCTCCCGGTCTGCCCTGAATACAGAGACAGACCAGAGGAACGTTAACCCCGCGATTGTGGCACTCCGGGGTTAACTTTAGTAAATGACGGACCTTTTCCATCAAGGGTCCTTTACGCAAGGACAAGCTTGACGGAAAATTTCCGTCTTTGGTCGGGAAGCGGTTAAAATGCTTTGTGTTTGAAACAGTGCACTGAGACATATAGAAATATGGAGAGAAACCTTATAGAAATTACCCATTTAATACTGTGACACCTGAAACTACCATGTCGATTTCCTTTTTTTTCCATTAATATAATAATTTGTGTCCTAGCAACACCTGCAATAAGTCCATTGGAGAAACGCATTGAGGAGTTGAGCCACCGATTTGTGATCGAGCGTGCCGTGGCTGAAGGAGCCAAACATGCCATCCAGAAATTGGATGGAAAGCCGCTTGTTGAGGTCAGTTACAAAGTGTATTCTCTTAACCATTTCATCCCCAGAATGAATAATGGGCTTCCAATGTGTGTCAAGGGGTTGGAAATTACAGTTTATTGGCATTAGCCAAGTAGCCATGGTATATTATTATGACTTATAAAGCGCCAACAAAATCTGCTTTATGAATAATTTATAAATGTTAAATTTATATTCTCTCTTCTGAGACTTTAATTGTTTGAAGTTTTTATTGGACCATTAGTTTTGTATTTTATTCTGTCTCTATGATGCTTTATTTAAAATTCTCCCAATTGTTTAATTCCCATTAGTTTTATTAGAAGCCAATATCAATCTATGGAAATCCGTGCTAACTAGTTTTTTCTTTTCCATTCAGCATTTAAGTTAAATACAGGGTTTTTTTCAATAAACTGACTTGTAGGAAACTAAAATCTGAATTACAAAACTGAGACAAACCTAGAGAAGCTCTGACTAAAGCCGAGATGGAATTTCTCCAGATCACTATTTTTAGTTTAAATATTTGAAGTTCAGATTTTGATTTGCTACAATTCAGACTTTAGTGATTAATCCTGAGTTTTTATACATTGAACATGACGTGGAATTATAACACCATGTATAAATGCAATGGAAGTATGAGCCACACTTGTAGGACTTATGTGTCTAACCTTGAACATCAGCTCATGTTGGACAGCAACTTCCAGATATATTCTTGCCAGCAGATAATGTATGTTGTTCTGTTGATCCTTCATCTTTTTTTCCACTTTTTTTTAACAGGCACAATCAATACTACAGGAGTCAAATGAAAAGCTGGACCTCCTTAAATATTCCTTGGAGGAACGAGTGAAAGAACTTCCTGATGGCCACCATAGGAAGAGTATAACCACCGAGGAACTGTCCCTTGGTTCAGTCAAATCCAAGTTCATAGCACTAACGGGTAAGTTATTTTGTCTCTGAAAGATCTGTGAATAAACTAAACAAGTACACTGCTCAAAAAAATAATGGGGGGGGGCGTGGCTAGCCACGGAGCAAGATGGCAGCATGAAAACTTGCTCCGGCAACAGGGCACCCAATCCAGCATAATCCAACCGCCTAAAGCTGCATCCAACAACATAGACCAGCAATGTCCCACCACAAAAGTAATCGGTAAAGCCGGATAAGCTCAATTTTTTTTAGCCAGAAACAAACTTCTGCGGCCCTGGCTACGCAGGCCTCAAAAGCAGCCGAGGACCCTGAATCGGACGACGGCATGCATGATACCGAATCGGAGGCAAAATCAGACACAACACAGATCACTAAAGCCGACCTCACAGCAGCCCTGGAGGTATTATCTGCTAAACTAATCACCACATGGCAACACACAGCAGACTCCCTACGGAAGGACATCCAGGAGCTGGGGAAACGGACGACGCACATGGAGGATAAATGCGATGAATTCGCCACGGCGCACAATGATCTGGCCACGAACGTAGAGCGCATAGCAGCAAAGATCTCCATTATGGAAGAAAAAATGGCGGACATGGAGGACCGGTCCCGCCGGAATAATCTACGCTTGTGGGGAGTCCCTGAGGATGTTACTAATGACGACCTGCCGGCTTATGTCAGGAACCTCCTGCACGCCCATGCACCGGAGATACCTACAGATATGCTGCTGGTAGATCGGGCTCACCGCATTCCGAAACCCCGTCATCTCCCACAAACGGTACCGCGGGACATACTATTGCGGGCGCACTATTTCCACATAAAGGAACACATTCTCCGGAGCAGCAGGCTGAGAGCTAAGCCGCCGGCCGACTACCCAACGGTCAAAATCTATGCGGATCTATCAGCCGCAACACTACGGAAAAGGAAAGACTTCCTCCAAGTTACCAGCACGTTGAGGTCCCACGGCATAAGGTATAGGTGGGGATTCCCCACAAAATTGATCGTTACGCAAAATGGAGACACGGTGGTGATAAACTCCCCTGACGACGGCCTGAAGAAACTCCAGGCCTGGAACCTGCCGGTGGAGCCGCCTATCCTGCATACAAGAAAGGCGGGCGCACTCAAACCGGACTGGGAAAAAGCCCACGGGAAACACTGAAACCAGACGGTATCTGGTACGCAGGCGAAAGCCCCTTCGGATATACACTGCCCACATAATGTCCCGGATACGCACCTGAAGTGCCTCCTTTCAATATGGCGACCCTGGAACGCACAACAAAAGCTGGACAGGAACCGGTAACTGGGGACCCCGATGGATAGGTGACTCTGGATCGGGGCCTCCCGCTGACCCTGTGACGAAGCGTGCGCAGAGCAGTGGATTCCCGCGGGGGTCCCCGGTCTGGACTAATACCATGAGTTGATGGGCTTTCCTCCCCCCCCTCCCCCCCATCTTGCCTTCACTTCCCCCCGGGTCCGGGTGAGCAGCAACCGGGGCAGCCTCCAACTCAGGTGAAGTCAGACAGGCTATTTGGGAGATGGGAAGCATGACACCACAACCTGAGGCCTAAGGTGGACCATGAGACTTTGGAGCTGCTGAGGCAGGCTGCAGAACTAAAGCGTTACACGCTCCTACTAACAGGTCTAATGGGACAATGGGACACTGGGGCCCGGGTGGGAGATGGGGTGATTCCTGGGAAATGTTTCTTGGTCGTTGGGATGGGGGAGGCGGGAGATGGGCGGGAAGGCTGGACGGCTAGCAAGGTAAAATAGTTACTGCAGGTTATGTTTTTTACTTAGAATGTATGTGCTATAGTTGACTGTTAATATACATGTACATAGGGCCCCTCTGTGCCAACGTTAGCACTCACGGCAGGTCTTTCAGCACATAGGGCCAGACCAGCCAAAACGGATGGCATGTCAATGTACTCTCTAACTCAGACGAGGACGTCTGGCCCCGGCCGCTCTCAGCCTGTCGCACCCTCATCGGGATCACATCCAAGGGCCCTGATCGGTCCATAGGCCCTGATTGGCCCAATCGCATACTAGAAGCAGCCCACAGACATAAGTCATAAGGGTGCCCAATAGCCACGTTAATGAAAGGATCCTTTCTTTCTTACCCCCCAGATGTGGTTCATCCACATAAATTCCTTGAAAGGAATACTCTGTACATAGTTTTTACACCTTCCCCTAGTTCTCCTCCCCTAATCCCACATCCCCACGGTCGGCCACTAATTACAAATGGAACTAATGCATCTCCAAACTCATACTACTACTTAATGGCGCACATTATGCAATGCTACGCCAATGTTATACTAGAACCAACAGGCAAAACAGCCGCACAATACCCCCATTCCCAACGCGGGGGCCACATCAGACAAGGACAAGTGAGACCTAGACAGCTACACTATATAACCCTCCCATAGTATGAGAATACAAACTATTAATGCACGTGGACTGAACACCCCACACAAAAGGAGACTCTGCATTGAGGACGCGAAGCGTGCTAAAGCAGATATCTTATGCGTCCAAGAAACTCACTTTGCACACAACAGAGTGCCCAGATTTGCAGACAGAGAATACCCCACACAATATCACTCGACATACTCCTCTAAATCGAGGGGCGTCTCCCTCTTCATACACACCTCAATAGCATTCGAACTTCTCCGCCTCAAAAAAGACACACAAGGCAGGTATCTTATACTACACGGTAAAATCAACGACACCCTATACACAATAGTGGGACTGTATGGACCAAACAATAATCAAAGAAACTTCCTACAGAAAGTACTGAATAAACTACCTAACACACACCAATCATCCACAATCATATGCGGGGACTTAAATCACATCATGCAACCCCGATTAGACACTACACTGTCGGAAACAACACCCAGGAGCAAAACACAGGGTAAACAGGCTATAGCACTCACAAAGCTCATCTCCGAACACGGGCTTTATGATATTTGGAGGACACAGCATCCGAATGAACGGGAATTCACATTTTATTCACCTGTACATAAAACATACACAAGAATTTACTTTATTCTAATTTCGGGCGACATGTTACCAATGGCAACGCATAGTGAGATAGGAAACATAATCTTGTCGGATCATGCACCAGTACAACTTACCCTGAGGGACAAATTTCAGACCAGAGGGGCGACACTTTGGCGCCTAAACGACACTGTCCTACTTAACCAAGAATTTAAAACCAAACTTAACAAAGAGATACTTTCGTTCTTTACCTTAAACGAAACACCCGATGTCTCACTGGCCACAACATGGCAAACACATAAGGCAGTCATACGGGGCCTCCTGATTAGCCAGGCATCCCACCTGAACAAGCAAGCAAAGAAAGAGTATATAGACCTCCTGAGGTCACTTAGGGACAAAACATCGGCACATATCATGCACCCATCCCCCTCCACACAGCAGCGCATAGCCCAGCTTCAAGGGAAGCTGAATGACATACACCTGCGCACCACAGCCACCATATCACATAGATTGAAACTCAAAACATACACCCAGGGAAACAAGGCAGGGAAGGCACTGGCAGCACTTCTGTGACAGAAATGGCAAAATGCAAAAATCCCATTTCTATTGAACGCTATAGGCAATAAAATGTATAGCCCACACTATATAAACAACGCGTTAGCGGACTACTATGATACGCTATATAACCTGAAAAGGGATCAGCAGACACACCAGCCACTCCCAAAGGAGATAGACGTGTTTTTAATGGAAGTGCAGCTACCGAAACTATCGCAGGCAGACCAGACTCTACTAGAAGCTCCCGTTACCCAAAATGAAATTGCATGCATTATCAAAGCCCTCCCAAAAGGGAAGTCACCAGGCCCAGACGGCTTCACGAACTTATACTATAAAATCTTCTCCCACATTCTCACCCCCAAATTAGAAAAACTATACAACAATATTCTCACGACAGGCTCTATACCAAGTGAAATGCTGCTAGCCCGCATAACCACACTGCCAAAACCAGGGAAACCTCCAACTAAATGCCAGAATCTGCGTCCTATATCGCTACTAAACACTGATTTAAAAATATTAGCGAAAATTTACGCAAACAGGCTAGGAAACATATTACCAACCCTGATTCGAGATGATCAAGTGGGGTTTGTCCGGGGTAGGCAAGGCTCAGACGGAACCAGGAAACTGATCAACATTCTGCACAGGATCCAGAAAACCGGGACCCCTAGTGTGGCACTGTCACTAGACGCTGAGAAGGCGTTTGACAGGCTGCACTGGGGATACCTGGAGGCTGTGCTACGGAAACTCGCATTTCCCGAGTGCTTCATCACACTAGTCTCGGCACTATATGACAACCCGACAGCAAAAATAGCCAACGGCGGGTTTACCTCCAAACCTTTCCACATCTCAAATGGGTCCAGACAGGGCTGCCCACTCTCACCTTTACTATATATACTAGCACTAGAACCCCTGGCTCAACACATTAGGGAGTCACATGAGGTCCATGGAATACAAATAGGGGGAGAAACACACAAAATCACCCTGTTTGCTGACGATGTAATGCTCACACTGTCTAAACCTGACATCTCTCTGCCACGGCTTCGAACTATACTAACAAAATTTAGCAACTGCTCATACTACAAGCTCAATGTTACCAAGACACAAGCTATGGGCCTCAACGTTCCTAAAGCACAACTTACCCACCTACAAAGCACACACACATACGACTGGCGATCTGACCATTTAACCTTCCTAGGTATAGATCTCACACCCAAGACTCAAACGCTGTATAAAGCGAACTATTTAAAACTCCTTAGCGCAATTAAACAACAACTACATAGCTGGAAAGGGAAATACATCTCATGGCCAGGCAGAATAGCGGCAGTTAAAATGATGGTACTACCAAGACTACAGTACTTATTCAGAACACTCCAAATACAGCTACCATGCCAGTTCTTTAAAGACGTACAGCACTCCCTAAATCAATTCATATGGGATGGGAAGCGACCTAGAATGGCGGCCGACACCATGTATAGGCCCTTCAAGGAGGGAGGAATGGGGGCCCCTGAGATCGCAAACTATTACACGGCTGCCATGATGAGCACACTCATATCCTCCTTCCACCACACAATACCACCGAAGTGGAGTCATATGGAAACCGCAAACACGGGCGGACTCTCGATGTCCACCCTTGCTTGGATACCTAGGCATCTGAGACCAAAATACCCAGATATATGCCCAACCACGAGGGCCACACTCCTCCTATGGGACAAGTACACCAAGAAACACTATCCCGCCTCATACATATCCCCAGCACTACAAATTCCAGCATTCCAACTCCTCATTCCGGGGTTCGATCATGGCCTATGGTGTAAACATGGAGCCACACGCCTATCGCACTTAATGAGGGATGGTCACCTAATAGACTTTAGTACTCTAACCAACCAGTACAACCTACCTCCCAAAGCCTACTTCTCATACTTAAAATTGCAATCATGGGCGAGGAAGAATATAGGTCTAGAAGCTGCACAAACGCAACCACAGACACTGACAGAGATAGAAAAAGTATGTACAGCCCCAAAACCGCCACAGAAAATGCTGTCACTCCTGTATAAACTGACCAAAAAACAAGACCAACCACAGAAACTAAGTTTCATGACGGCATGGGAAAAAGACCTGAATCTGACTATACCCAATGAGGTATGGTCAAAAATACTGTTAGCACACAAAAACCTCACACTAAATGCATCCCATATTGAGACTAGCAGGAAAGTGCTATATCGCTGGTACATGGTACCCACCAGGCTGAGCAAAATGGACCCAAGTAAGTCAGGGACATGCTGGAGATGCTTGCAGGAACCGGGGTCAATGCTCCACATATGGTGGACCTGCCCAGGAATTAGGCCCTTTTGGAAAAGCATCTCGAATATCATAACCGAATCAACTGGCAATACTCTGCCACACTCCCCAGAAACATATTTACTGCTAGCCCTGCCACACAAGCTCTCAAAAGCTGACATGTACCTAACATACCACATTATTATCACAGCACTAATGGCTATAAGCAAGACCTGGTTGAGCACACACCCACCCAGCATTCAACGATGCCTAGATATGATAGACACTACCCAAGGGTATGAGATAGAAGCTAGGCGATTAAGGCCGACAAATAAAGTCTGGCAAACAGCGTGGCAAACATGGACAACATGGCGACAAAATGCCACACATGACGGTAGTCATATCACCAGTTAACACTTGGAAACACTTCCAGATGTTCCAAACCGACCCTCCCCTCCATCCCACCTATTCCCTCCTCTCCCCCCCCCCTACAATAATAGGGTGACACTTAGTCGTAAGACTAGGTTAGTTGTCAAATTGCACTGGTGCAGATGCAGGCCACTACGTTAAAATGCTATGGTACTAAGATGTTGTGACTGGCCTCTCCAACAAGCTGTTGGGGATCCCAAATACTAGACGAAGTATGGAACACTTCCTAAAGGTGTATAAAGCGAAAATGTAATTGATATTCTGCAACTGTACAACTGTGTGCATCTGTTACTACTATTCTAAACTCAATAAAAAATATTACACAAAAAAAAAAAAATAATGGGAACACTTAAACAACACAATGTAACGCCAAGTCAATCACACTTCTGTGAAATCAAACTGTCCACTTAGGAAGCAACACTGAGTGACAATCAATTTCACATGCTGTTGTGCAAATGGGATAGACAACAGGTGGAAATTATAGGCAATTAGCAAGACACCTCCAATAAAGGAGTGGTTCTGCAGGTGGTGACCACAGACCACTTCTCAGTTCCTATGCTTCCTGGCTGATATTTGGTCACTTTTAAATGCTGGCGGTACTTTCACTCTAGTGGTAGCATGAGACGGAGTCTACAACCCACACAAGTGGCTCAGGTAGTGCAGCTCATTCAGGATGGCACATCAATGCGAGCTGTGGCAAGAAGGTTTGCTGTGTCTGTCAGCGTAGTGTCCAGAGCATGGAGACGCTACCAGAAGACAGGCCAGTACATCAGGAGACGTGGAGGAGGCCGTAGAAGGGCAACAACCCAGCAGCAGGACCGTTATCTCTGCCTTTGTGCAAGGAGGAACAGGAGGAGCACTGCCAGAGCAATGCAAAATGACCTCCAGCAGGCCACAAATGTGCATGTGTCTGCTCAAACGGTCAGAAACAGACTCCATGAGGGTGGTATGAGGGCCCGACGTCCACAGGTGGGGGTTGTGCTTACAGCCCAACACTGTGCAGGACGTTTGGCATTTGCCAGAGAACACCAAGATTATCAGATTCGCCAATGGCGCCCTGTGCTCCTTACAGATGAAAGCAGGTTCACACTGAGCACATGTGACAGATGTGACAGAGTCTAAAGACGCCGTGGAGAACGTTCTGCTGCCTGCAACATCCTCCAGCATGACCGGTTTGGCAGTGGGTCAGTAATGGTGTAGGGTGGCATTTCTTTGGAGGCTACACAGCCCTCCATGTGCTCGCCAGAGGTAGCCTGACTGCCATTAGGTACCGAGATGAGATCCTCAGACCCCTTGTGAGACCATATTCTGGTGCGGTTGGCCCTGGGTTCCTCCTAATGGAAGACAATGCTAGACCTCATGTGGCTGTAGTGTGTCAGCAGTTCCTGCAAGACGAAGGCATTGATGCTATGGACTGGCCCGCCCGTTCCCCAGACCTGAATCCAATTAAGCACATCTGGTACATCGTGTCTCACTCCATCCACCAACGTCACGTTGCACCACAGACTGTCCAGGAGTTGGCAGATGCTTTAGTCCAGGTCTGGGAGGAGATCCCTCGGGAGACCATCCGCCACCTCATCAGGAGCATGCACAGGCGTTGTAGGGAGGTCATACAGGCACGTGGAGGCCACACACACACTACTGAGCCTCTTTTTGACTTGTTTTAAGGACATTAAATCAAAGTTGGATCAGCCTGTAGTGTGTTTTTCCACTTTAATTTTGAGTGTGACTCCAAATCCAGACCTCCATGGGTTGGAAAATGTGATTTCCATTTTTTCATTTTTGTGTGATTTTGTTGTCAGCACATTCAACTATGTAAAGAACAAAGTATTTCAGAAGAATATTTAATTCATTCAGATCTAGGATGTGTTATTTTTGTGTTCCCTTTATTTTATTTTTTAGCAGTGTATATTTAACATTGAAATATCTGAGCATGTTTCCATCTGTGTGAAGTCTGACTGGAGGAAACTCGCAGTTAGTCTACTGATATTCCAGCAGGATTTATTCTATGTGACGTGTGCAAGTTTAAATGTGACCGGTGACATTTTAAATGATAACAATATGTAACTCTTAGCATTATTCTTCCAAATGTACTGAGCTAGCTTTCTGCATAACTTTTAATTGAGTGAATTATTAGCATAAACTAAGTAAACAAGTTAAGCATTACACTTTGAGGAATACTTTACTAATGGGCAATTAGATAAATGACTTTACTTACTGTCTAAAACACAGTTTATAATAATCTGAATATGTGAAAATGACATGTTACTGAGAATTTGCCCATTCTTGGTATTCTCATGAATTCAGTTTTACTTTTTTTTATTATCTTAGAGTCCCACTAAGTGTAAAGGTTAATCCAGACGTGGACTCCTTGTTCACTTTGCATAGAGGGGTTCCAACTTGTGTAGCGTGGACTTATTGCATTCTGGTTCTGAATTACTCCTGTGAGTGTTTAGAAATATCTAATAATGCAAATAGTATAGGTTTCCTCTCTAATGGCACCAGTGAGATAAACCTTGTCTGAGTACCAAGCAGGGACTAACTGACGCTACTGAGTTTTTATCTGTTTGTAAGTTCAGTTTTGGTTGATTTATATTCTGATAAAGATGTAAAAGCTGCCTAATCATTTCATATTCTGTGTGTGCTACTTAGACCAAACACAAAGTTTTCTCTAAAATAAATGTGAAAGTGTAATAGCCATTGTTACAATATTTATTCTGATTGTTTGACAGGTACTCTGAAAGTGCGAGTAAAGGGTTGTCACGGTATTCTGGAGAATGTACCTGGCAGACTAAAGGACCCGTCAGATGTTCACCCTGGCAGGAGTCCACGTCGAGGAAGATTCTTATTACTGAACTGGATCAGAAGAAACAACCGTGGCAGCAATCAGAACATCCAAGAGACTTTTGACTTTTCTAGTACAGTGATTTTTATCTTATTAATCCCGTTGTGTACAGTGACGCTCAAAATATGGGGTATCGAACCTTTCCCTCCAACAATTGTTAAACTACATATCCCACCATTTACTGACAGAATTTATAATCCTAGTCCAGTAACATTTGACTGGTCATGGTTAGACAAAGTCTGTATAGGAAACTTGGATCCTTTAACTCGGTAATGTTCCTGTTTGGGGAGAATGGAGGCGAAATACAAATATTATCTAATAGGATTCTCCGTCCTTCCAAAGACCCTGCTTATCAATCACAATACTGAAAGTGTTGTCAAGGAGATCAGTTTCACAAAACATATTTCCAGATATCCCTCCGCAATTGCCGTTTTCCACCAAATTATTTTACATATTCTGAATGAAGTGGCTCTAAACTTTAAAAGTGAAGGAAACATTTACCAAAGATTCTTCAAGCTGGGAATCCTATCTGTCAACTTTATATCCTCCTGTAAACAAGTAACAAGTTGCCTTTTGAAACATTCTCCTGGTCCATGGGGAGAATACTGGCTCACAATACCCCTTACATTATAGTTTTATCTAATCAATAGACGAGATCTCGACTACTTTACCCGTTGATGATTTCATTGTTTCTTTGGGATTGCGGCTTTACCATTCTGAGACTTGAACACAGCTCACAGACTGTCTTTCAGTTTTATCCTCTGGACTTTCCTGATTCTTTGTTAATTCTGATAATATTTCTGACTCTTTGTTAATGCAATGTTTTGGGTTAGTTTTCTCATCCATTTAATTGCCTTTAAAATGTTATTATTAATACATGTTTCTAACAATGACATTGTGATATATAACAGTACATTATTATGTATTCCTGTAGATTCATAATAAATGCTAATAGTATTAAACAAATACAATATTACACAAAACATTTCTGTATAGTAGAAAACATGGAACAGTGTGACAAAAAATAAATAAATAAGATAGGCCTACCTCTCAGATCAACATGAAAAGCCTTGACATAATGTCATACCCAGGGGTGCACAACACAGTAGGGTCTATGTATCAAACCTCCTAGGAAACTGTAGCACTACAATATATGTGGAGTATAAACTGCAAGAAAGTCCCCTTAATCCAGTGTGCCAAAACAAGGCTGCAGGATGGTACCTACTTAATCTAGTGTGCCAAAACAAGGCTGCAGCATTGGACCTCCTTAATCCAGTGTGCCAAAACAAGGCTGCAGGATGGTACCTCCTTAATCCAGTGTGCCAAAACAAGGCTGCAGGATGGTACCTCCTTAATCCAGTGTGCCAAAACAAGCCTGCAGCATTGGACCTCCTTAATCCAGTGTGCCAAAACAAGGCTGCAGCATTGGACCTCCTTATCCAGTGTGCCAAAACAAGGCTGCAGGATGGTACCTCCTTAATTTAGCGTGCCAAAACAAGGCTGCAGGATGGTACCTCCTTAATCCAGTGTGCCAAAACAAGCCTGCAGCATTGGACCTCCTTAATCCAGTGTGCCAAAACAAGCCTGCAGCATTGGACCTCCTTAATCCAGTGTGCCAAAACAGGGCTGCAGCATTGGACCTCATTAATCCAGTGTGCCAAAACAAGGCTGCAGCATGGCAGTGTGCCAAAACAAGGCTGCAGCATGGTATCTCCTTAATCCAGTGTGCCAAAACAAGGCTGCAGGATGGTACCTCCTTAATCCAGTGTGCCAAAACAAGGCTGCAGCATGGGACTTTTTCCAGTGTGCCAAAATGAGGCTGCAATGGGAATCCTCCTGGTCCCACATTGTTATCATGCTGTACGTTTCCATGTGTTAGCGTAGTGAGACTATACAGAATCAGGGAAATCCATTAAATATCTCAGTCTTGAGTTTTACTAAAAAAATTGGCGCTGCTCCAAAGTCAAAACCAAGTGGATAGTTTTAGTCAGCCAACAATCTGTACGGGTGTTGCAATGTATAGTAAATTAGTGTTTAAAAAAAAGAAAAATAAGCTTTTTACTGCTACTTTGCCGTACCATTATACATTGCAACACCTGTTCAGATCGTTTGATGGCCATTGTTCCATAACGACATTTTTAACATTACTCTCTACAGCAGCTCACAAACTACATTTTAAGTTGGTAGACAGGCCTTATGCCCTACAATGGCCTTATTTATCGTAAACTCACTTACCTGGTTTTAATGGGTTGGTTACACTAATTATTTATTGAAGACACCTCTGTAAAACAATTCTTCCAAATCTGTGGACAATATGTATTTACACTAAACATCGCTATTGAAATGAAAATCAAAACCACAATATCTATCTATATCCTGTTCAAAAGTTGTAGCAGATCAACACCAAACTACTCTACCCACATATAAACTTGGACTCACTCATTGTACAAACTCCATTCTTTACATTATTTGTCAGACAAAAAAGGCCGACAGGAGGAACATCATTTTTTAACACTTCTTTTAGTAAATTAGTTCTAGTGTTATTTTACATATATCTCTTTGCTTATATTCAGACTGTATTACCTGGCTGACCATAAATTTGTCTAGTTTTTTGTTAATTTTTGCTTTTTTTTACAGAATACAGGAGATTAGACTCCTTTGATGAAAGCAAACTCCTAGAGCTTTGTGTAAAGCTAATAGATGAACCTTTATATCTTCTGTGTATTGACCAAAGCCATGTAGAAATGTTCTTTAAATTAAAATACTCTCAGCCTTTTAAGTTGAGTTCCTGAAATTTCCTTACAGGTGAAGTCCGTGCTCAGCTGAAGATCGATCATATTCCAGTGGGTTCAACAAGTTGGAAAACTGTTTCTAACCCATCCTGGAATAAGACATTTAAACTGGATTTAGATAAGGTACATATGGCATGCTTGAATCATTTATTTTTTATTTTTTTTTAGCTTAAATCCATTTTTGGCCCCAGGTAGACTTAATAAGTTATAAATCTTCAAATACTGTAAAGAGTTGTCTAAGTGGAACTCTTTATTTCTAAACCTCTAGGACCTTAATGTGTCAGACAGTTAAAATTTAGTTATTTAACACTGGGTTTGTTTATCTTTCTCTAGATATTGTTATAGGATTTTTAAAAATGTATATCTATTCATTTACTAACCTATATATTGATGAAAAATAATTTAGGTTTTTTTAATGTGAAAATGGTAAAATGTGGTTTAAATGTTCCTTACAAAAACATGATTGGTCAAAAACTTTTTTTTGTTAAAATAACTATTGCTTATTTAATTTTTACATAGTCTCGGGAGCTAGAAATATCCTTATATTGGCATGATCAGAGATCACTGTGTGCCACAAAGACTCTGAAGTTGGAAGAATTCCTGTTGAACCCGAAACAGGAACTGTGTCTACAACTGGAACCACAGGGCACCCTTTTCATCAAGGTGAGAACCAATCTCTGGCCACTATCAATTTATAGTTATATTTTAATGTAATAATACAGAAAACAAAATAATGATTACATTACACAACTTTACAATTGAAAGCTGGTGAATAGATAAAAGTAGGTAAAAAACCTACACGTACTAGGAGATAATTACCTAACACTAGAAATGAACTTAAGGAGAAGTGTTCTATAATTTCTCTATAAGCACATAAAAAGAACCACTCATGTATGCATACTATAGTAAAAATACAAATGAAAAATGAAGAAGATAAAAACACTAGGTGGCAGCCTAGTAAACACAACACGCTACATTAAAGAGTGAATTATCAACTAAACAGTGAATAATTCTGAATAGGCACAATAGCTTAAAATAAATAAAAATCACTAAAAATCAAGATCAAGATGGGTAGTCCAAACATATGAATCGTCCCATAGAGTCCAAGGTGGTATAAGTCTAAAACAGAGTCTAGATTGAAAATATGGTCCAAAACACAGTTCTTGTATTAACAAATGCAAGTATCACATCCTGCACAATATGCTTCTGCTCAATGAAGATAGCAGCTGCAATAAAGTGTCACGATGGGAGTATAATGTAACCAATATTGGTATGAATCAGTAATGGTATTGGATAGCAGCAAAAGATAGTAGTTGCCCATATACCACTGTATACAGGCATATAGCAATACAGTTGTTAGTGCTTTGCAAGTAACGCTGGTAGTATTCTTCAATAAAACTTCTTATTTATTCAAAGTAAAATAAAAAATTGGAATACACTCACAAATTGAGAGAATGCCAGCAAAAGAGTCTTTGTCGGGTTAGCAAGATCCGGTGATGTTGATCACTTTTGTGGGAAAGTTTCACTCCGGCCGGTGAGTTGAACTTGGCGTATGGAGGGAGGTGAGACACCTCTCGCGTGCGTTCCACTTAGTGCGCCCGGTCTGCATTCCACGGTTGTCAGTAGCTGGATACAATCTACGGCAATGCCGAAAAAAGCCTTACGCGTTTCGTGACAGTACACAGTCACTTCATTAGAGGCGAATGAAATTCTGTGGCTGCTAATTCGTTTTATATAGTGATCGCTGATGAATGTTCACACTTAGTGAATAAGTGTACAAATCTAAATCAAACTGTACTGAAGTGTAAACTGAATTGCACAACTTAGGTAACAATAGGTGATTTGAAAGCATTCCTTAAGTCAACAATAGTAGTACCTTGGATTTTTAGCCTTTAATTCATGCAATTTGGCGTTTAGTGAATAAACCTTTATATATATGTCATATTAGCTACATTACCACTTATAGTATCTTTAGCAATCTTTGACCTTTTTAGATAAAGGACACTATATTAAGTTATAAAATATTTATCTAAATGAAGGGCTTTGCTTATTGTGATTAGCTGTAGAAGAACAGATTTGAAGCGGTTTACTTTTCCATTTGTGTGTCTGTTAGTTATGTTGGTTTGGCAAAATAAGTTATTACCATTTACTTCCTGCAGTTAACTCTTTCACCTTGTTTTGTAATAGGTGACATTTTCCAGTCCTTTCATCCAGAAAAGGCCAAAGTTTCAAACAATTAGGAAATTATTCTCCACAAAACAAGGTAAGTATATGTTTAATAGTGATGTCCGAACTGTTTGCTGAACGGTTCGCCGCGGACTCATCATTGAGTAAACTTTGACCCTGTACCTCACAGTCAGCAGACATATTCCAGCCAATCAGCAGCAGACCCTCCCTCCCAGACCCTCCCACCTCCTGGACAGCATCCATTGTGAAGCTGCATTCTTAGTGAGCTGTCCAGGAGGTGGGAGGGTCTGCTGCTGATTGGCTGGAATGTGTCTGCTGACTGTGAGGTACAGGGTCAAAGTTTACTCAATGATGAGTCTGTGGCGAACCGTTCGCGGCAAACCGTTCGGCGAACAGTTCGGGACATCACTAATGTTTAACAAATACACAAATAAAGTTCTAGACTTGGAGATTGTGTTCCTTCTTTTTTCCTTTTGCTTTTACCTTAGAATTTTTGGAATATGATGAAAGCAATTCATCCATTATTGGTCTCTGTGTATCATATACAATACTAAAGTTATAAAAACAAAATTAGTATCAGCGCTAAGTGAATATACCCCTAAGTAATAAACACAGCGTTCAACCAAAAAATGTCTTATCCATCAAAGAGTTCCAATTTCAGTTTTAATAGAGGGTACTTCCAAGCAATTCACAGGGATTAGTTGCTGCAACAGTAGCATATACGGAAAATCTGTGTCTTTATATGTATCCAAATGGTCTTGAAAAAGCTTGGTCTAACGAGCGAAACATGTAGATCGTGTGTCTGGTGGGACTTTTAAATCTACAACAATCACAGCAGTGCCTGGAAGCCGGCGTTCTTGTGAGGGACCGATCCAAGTGCACAGGACGGTTCAAAAAGATCTGTATTCACGGAGCGACAGCAAGTAACTCTTCCATTTAACACTCTGTTTGAATTGTGCTTTATTGTGAAACTTAGAGATAAGCTTCACAACATTATATTGTAAGAGGTTTTCTTATGGGGGGTTTTTCACTTGGGTAATAAAATTGTAACAGTATTACGCTATGTCAGTATCTTTTCTATTTTAAGGTTTGGATACATATAAAGACACAGATTTTACGTATATGCTACTGTTGCAGCAACTAATCCCTGTGAATTGCTTGGAAGTACCCTCTATTAAAACTGAAATTGGAACTCTTTGATGGATAAGACATTTTTGGGTTGAACCCTGTGTTTAATACATAGGGGTATATTCACTTAGCGCTGATACTAATTTTGTTTTTATTTTGTGTCTTATAAGATATTTTAAAAACTTGGGAAGGTTTTTTTATTGTATCTAGCAGCTTTCCAATTTTCTGGTGGAACACTAAGTTTGGGGCATTGTCCTAGAAATTCCACTGTATTATTCTTGATGTGCGCCCTCTATACTGTGTTTTTGTATTGAATACTAAAGTTATGTTCTGTGCTACTTTTATAGAAGAGACCACCAAACCAGCTCCACTGGAAGATGCAGCTATTGATGTTCATTCGCTGCCAGTATCGGAATCTAAGAGCGTGGAGTCATCGGCGCCGGCTGTGGATACTGAAACAGAAAAGACCATCCAACCAGCTCCAGAAGAGGATGTGGTTACCGACTCTCCTATATTGCCAGTAGCCACTGAGAGCATGCACCCATTAACACCCGATGCTTATACCATTACAGAAGAGCCCTTCCAACCACCTCCAGTGGAAGCTACAAAAATTTACAATGTACCAGTAGTGGACACTGAGATTGTGGAGTCATCACCACCAGCTATCAACGCCATCGCTGCAGAAACCATCCAACCACCTCCAAAGGAAGCTAGAATTATGGACAATGCTCCATTGACAGTAGAGGACTCTGCGAGCATGGAACCATCACCACAAGCTATTGTAAGCTTACTAGAAATGACAATCCAACCAGCTGTAGAAGATGATTTAGTTACTGACACTACACCATTGCCAGTAAAGGACACGGACAGCGTGGAGCCATGTATGCCAGCTGTCGATGAAATTACAGAAAAGACAATCCAACCACCTCCAGAGGAGGATGCAGCTATTAATGCTCATTCACTACCATTAGAGGACTCTGAGAGCGTGGAGCCATTGCGGCCAGCTGTCAAAGATATGGAAAAGATAATCCAACCAGCTCCAGAGGAGGCTGTAGTTATTGACACGCCTCAAGTGCCAGCAGTGGACAATGAGAAAGTGGAATCATCACCACCAGCTGCTGGTACTGATATGGAAAACAACATCCAAACCTCAACAGAGAAAGATGCAGTTATTGATGTTGATAACATTGTAGAAGAAACCATTGAACCACCAAAGGGTTTAGTTCGTGACACTGTTCCACTGGCAGAAGCAGATGTCGAAAAGCCATCATCATCAGCTGGGTATTGAGATATTCATCTTTCTCATCAATGCTGTTAACGTATACTGTGTGTTATAGGAGCATTTTGTTTTGGGTCTTTGTTTTTTCATGGGGGAGGGGACTGTATGTAATTTTAAATATATTTTAAAATGTGTTCTTTTCTTTGCAGTATTCAGCAAGGAGCTCGGCTGAGCATTCAGGATTTTGATTGTCTCTGTGTGCTGGGAAGAGGAGCATTTGGAAAGGTGGGTTTTGGGGTGAATTCCACTTTCAATATAAAAGGTGTCTAGATAAATGCTAGGTCACAATATATATATATATATATATATCTATTTTAAATTTCAGGTTCTGCTTGTTGAGTACAAGCGTACAAAGATCAAATTCGCTTTAAAAGCCCAGAAAAAACAAGGTATAACTGGAACGCAAAGAGTCCCAAGGTCAGTAAATGGAGAGTACTTAAAATCCTACATTTTATTCATTTTTTGGATGGTGATACTATTTGTCAGTTTTTATTTGTGCCCAAGAGTTGCCTTTAAAGAAGTGATTAATTGGGGGCAAAGCCTGAGCCTCATGGCAGCTGGTTGCCATTTAAAAAAAAAAAAAAAAACAACTAGCATAACAAGAGGACATAGTCTTAAATTAGAGGGACAAAGGTTTAAAAACAATATCAGAAAGTATTACTTTACTGAGAGGGTAGTGGATGTATGGAATAGCCTTCCAGCTGAGGTGGTAAAGGTTAACACAGTGAAGGAGTTTAAGCATACATGGGATAGGCATAAGGTTATCTTAGCCATAAGATAAGGCCAGAGACTAATGAAAGTATTTAGAAAATTGGGCAGACTACATGGGCCGAATGGTTCTTGTCTGCCTTCACATTCTATGTTTCTATTTGCATCTTGACAGTGCTCCTCACATAGCTCTTAGTTTAATAGAGAAAAAGGGGTAGGGTCGCACTCAGCCACAGCAATTCAGCACAGGGTGCTACTGAGCATGGGTCAGCAAAAAAACCCCAAAGAATATATACATATAGAAAAATCTCAGGCACTCACCGCGAATTGTTTGCAGGCAGATTTATTGCAACGTTTCGACCTGTTAAGGTCTTTATCAAGCTTTATAAAGACCTTAACAGGTCGAAACGTTGCAATAAATCTGCCTGCAAACAATTCGCAGTGAGTGCCTGAGATTTTTCTATTTGTATAGCTCCTAGTTTAAGCTTATTCTTGAGGCAAATTGCATTCACAATAAACACATTCAGTGCCCTAACAGTTGCTAACACTGAATGGAACGGTCCGGTTTCTAGAGGTGCTGACGCCTCTATCTCTGGCGGAGCCGACCAGGCCTGGTGAAGGCACTGGGCAGGAGAGGCGGCCAATCTTCTGTCCTGTGAAGCACACCTCTCTTGCAGAGACCTACAGTGTCCCCCCTGGGCCGGTGAGGGTTATCCCGGTCTCCACCGCGCTACCTGTCACCAGTCTGGAATCGTACAGCAGTGTATTGGAACGCAACTCTGAATGCAGGATAGTGGAGGTACTTTCCCATCAGGGGCATGCTGTAAATATGACCAGGCAGCCTTGGAGTGACCCTGTTGAGCACTCTATGAGAAGATTGGAAGCTATCTTTCACAACTTCTGTCCTAAGCTAACAGCCCAAGAAGTACAGTCCCGGCTGAATTCCCGATCCCGAGATCAGAGGCGACAGACGCGAGATGGTGGCAGGACCCCTGTGGGCATTACTTAACCGAAAGCAACTGCTCCTTGTTTCCACGATCCTCCTGTGCTGTAGGTCACTAAGGGCTTACTCACCTTGCATGAACCACAGAATCAGTGACAAACCATACCATTCCTCAGCTGTCCCTTAGATGTGAAGAACTTTGTCAGTTCTCAAGTCCGTGGATCAGGGATGCAGGCCTACACCAAGGCCTGGGGCTATGGAGGTGCCTTGCCTCACCGTTCAATTACAGCTATTCTTCATATCCAGTGTTGCGGCTCCCGACCAGCACGGTCTCGCCGACACCACAAGCTTACCTGCTCGTCGGCGAGCCGGGAGCCGCTCCACTGCCTTCTCTGGGCATTGCGCCCAAATCAGAAGCCAGAGAGGGATATATAAAACCCTAATTCACTTTACTTCCTTGCCCTGTCGTGGTTTCCTGTTCCTGGTTCCTGAGAGTGCGTTTATCTTTGTGATTTTGACTTCCTGGTATCCTGATCTTGGCTTTTCCCTGGTTATTCTGAGTTCTGGTTCCCCTGACTTGGCTTGTTTAAACGGTATTTGAGTATTTCTGGTTTTCTTGACCTCGGCTTTCCCTTTGACCATTCTCTATCTCTAGCGTATTAGTCCGGCCATTCTAAGGTCCTGTTTACGATTTGTCCTTTTATTTTCCATTTCTTTTGTATGTATATATTTACATAGTTTCTGCGTGTTGGACCACTCTAGCTGCCGTGACATTACGACAGGGCCTGGATCCTGCGGAACTATGTAAACATATGATTGCCTGTGAGAGCAGGGTGGAGGATATGGACCACAGGTTAGATCAATTTGCCCAAGCATTCCAGACCTTGCTCCAGAGAACTGCCTATCTGGAGGCACCTCCTGTACCACCTGTGGCAGCACCGGTGGCACACAAACCACCGTCCATAACCCTTTCACCTCCCCCTCATTTTGGGGGTGATTCTAAAGAATTTAGAGGTTTTTTAAATAAAATCGAATACGACTTCGAAGCTGTCCCTGGTTCATTCCCTACAGATAGATCGAAGATTGGCTCTCTAATGAACCAATTAACGGGTAAGGCTTTAACCTGGGCTAATCCCTTATGGGAGAGTGGGAATCCAGTAGCCTGTGATTACAATGTGTTTCTAACAGCATTTAAAGCTACTTTTGAGCCAAAAGGGAGAGAAAAGAACGATGCCAGAGCCCTGATGAGAATAAAACAAGGCAATCGCTCTGTAACTGATTACGCCATTGAGTTTAGAACTTTGGCGTCTGAGGTTGACTGGACCAATAGCGGTCTAGGGGCTGCCTTCTCCGAAGGCCTAGCAGAGAATATACAAGACGAGACCGCAGCTAGAGATCTTCCGGTTAACCTTAATGACTTTATTGCCTACATGATAGATATAGACAACAGGCTCAGAGAAAGAGAGAAAAACAAACGTACTAGACGTTCCACCTCATCCATAGCCCCTCGTTTCTCTAACCCAGTTGTAATTAACCATGTCCCACCTCCTGAACCAGAACCCATGCAACTGGGTATTACAAAACTCACTGAGGCAGAGAGACAACACAGACGTAACGAGGGGTTATGATTATATTGTGGCAAAGGAGGACATCAAAGATTTTCATGTCCGGTTCGGCCGGAAAACTTGTGCACCTAAGGCATGTTCGGGGACCGACCTTAGGTGTGATGTATATGTATCCTAAATTGACTAAGAACCGTTTCCTTATAAGAGTTACTTTATCTTGGAAGAAAACCACTGTACAGTGTGAGGCTATGATTGACTCTGGGGCAGTGGAGAATTTTCTAGACAAGGAATTCTCTGCTAAATATCTCCTGCCCTTAAGGCAGAATGAAAGACCAGAATGAAAGTGGGACTTTTTATTATATTTTTTTATCCTTTACTGTTTTAATTATATTAAAGTATACTTTTTAAAGTTACTTTTTATATTTATTATTTTCTTATTTCCTGGATCCTGTATATCCTTGGTGGGGATTATACCACCTAAGCTGTTTATACTGGAGCAAGTTATATGCTCTAAAAAGTGTAAGTACAATACTTTTTATTATTTAATATATTATTAGTACTTACTTCACCATATTGCTACTATCTCTCCTTATATCTACTATGCACATTGCACCTTGAGAACATCCGTGGCAACTACTACGAATCCAGGTCCAGGCGCTTCACAGTAGAGCTCTGTTATAGCTCATTCAAATGTGAGTGGACTGTACATAGCTATAATTGATTGTTTTTAAGATATAATCTACTGTATTGCACTATTATTTCTTATCTTAATTTTTTCCGAGGTTACGATTGATTGGAATATTCAAGGATATATGCATGTATTTTTTGCATATATAAATTACTAGGCGCGGTATACGCCTTCTTTCTTTCTAGAATGAAAGACCCATAGCAGTGGAGGCCATCGATGGGAGACCCCTTACCCAGCCTCTCATCACGCATGAAACCCTGCCAATCACTGTCTCAGTGGGTATCTTACATTCTGAGGAAATGGTTTTTCAAATTATATCCTCACCCACATGTCCTATCATACTCTGTTTTCCTTGGCTCCAGAAACACAATCCACGTTTAGATTGGGTTGAAGGAGAGATCATGAGTTGGGGTGAGAGATGCAGAGGTTTTTGTTTTAAGCTGATGCCGCAACCTATTGGTACCATCAATATACCTATAGCGCCTCCCCTAACCACAGAAATCCCCCCACAGTATTTTGACCTACAGGAGGTATTTAACAAAGGTCAGTCAGAAATACTACCACCACATAGACCCTACGACTGTACCATAAACTTGTTACCAGGTACCATGCCTCCCAAAGGAGGAGTATATGCAATATCTCATCAGGAAAGTCTTTGTTTAGAAGAGTATATAAAAGATGCTCTCAGAAAGGGTCACATACGTAGATTCTCTTCACCTGCTGGGGCTGGGTTCTTCTTCGTTTCTAAAAAAGAAGGAGACCTACGTCCTTGTATAGACTATAGGGGTTTGAATAGGATAACAATAAAAAACGCCTATCCCATTCCCCTTATTTCTGAATTATTCGACAGGTTGAAGGGAGCCCGAGTCTTCACTAAGCTCGATCTCAGAAGTGCTTACAACCTAGTCAGAATTAAGGAAGGTCATGAGTGGAAGACCGCGTTCAATACAAGAATGGGACACTACGAATATCTAGTTATGCCGTTCGGCCTATGCAATGCTCCAGCGGTATTTCAGGATTTCATTAACGATGTCCTTAGGGAGTACCTCCACATGTTCATTTTAGTGTACCTGGACGACATTCTCATCTATTCCCCTGACCTAGAGACACATCACGAACATGTGAGAAAAGTACTAAAAACCCTGTTAAAGAATGGCCTCTACTGTAAGCTGGAGAAGTGCCAGTTTGACCAGACCGAGATACAGTTTCTCGGATATTTTATATCTCCATCTAGCTTCAAAATGGACCCTCACAAGTTGGAAGCAGTCTTACAATGGCCGCTACCCAAAGGCCTTAAAGCTACACAATGCTTTATGGGTTT